CTAGGCTGAAAATGAAGTGCATGCTCAAACTGGCAAGGGGTCTTGGGGCCGCCCTGAGGCCCCCAGTGGGTCCAGGGCAAAGCTCTGGTGGGGGCCCCGGGGGCGAAGCCCCCGGAAGCTTCTGGATTCTGACGATCTAAACACTCATAAAATCATAAAAGAAAGTGAAGAAAATACATATCTTGACAACGTTTTATCATTAGAAATAAAACCAAGGAGCAATTATAATAGTAGAGAGACGACTTTCAAAAAAAAAAAGAAAAAAAAAGACTTAATTCTTAAGTAATACAGGACAGGCTATCGTAGTTTTGAAGCATCTATCAACTAATTTGGTGAATTTTTGGCCAGTATAAAAATTTTCGGTGATTTTTTTTTCCGCAAAAATTAAGAAAGAAAAAAAGAATATTACCTAAGGTAATAAATAAAATAAAAGTGGCTCTGAACAATCTACTTAAATTCATTTGATAAAATAAGTATTTTTGTAAATTCAACCCTAAAACTTAATTTGATTTGAGAAAATGAAATGCTTAAAAAAGTCAAATTTTTGACGGTAGCTGCCATAATAGTTTTCGAACTTACAGTGTCAGTGACTTTATTTTTTTTTTAAAGTAGTAAAACTACACAAGTGTACATGTAATCAGTAAAGAAAATTAGAAGAAGAAAAATTGAATTTATGCATTTATTATAACTTTTTTTGATACTACAGTGTATAATTTAATTTGTACATGACTGAGAAGGAGTTAAGTCATAGAGTCTCATTATCTTTTTTTTTTCAAAATGATGTGCATGCTCGAGCATACAAGCATACATGGTAGCTACGCCACTGCAATTGTAACGGTACATTTAAACTCTAAAAAACTGAAAAAAGTATCATCGGAAAACTTGATTACCATCTCCCTTCCAATAAATAGCAATTTATACGCAAATGTTACCTCTAATAGATTCAGGACTAACATATTTGATTATGTACCAAACAACTCTGCTTGACCTAGCGCTGTCGCACTGACAACATATCGCTTAAAATTCAATACAAGTTGAAATTCAAAATAATTCTGAATTTCAAATCAACATGCTTAGCGCTTCCCAGTACTTTCAGTACTTTGATTTGACTATGCTGCAACAAAAAAGGGGGGCAAAGGATGTTTACTTTATCATTCAAATCAGAGACATATAAAACCATTGCTCATAAATTCGTTTTTCAATACTATGGACTTGGCAATTGTATGAATTATACGGGAATGACTGTTTCATCCCATCTCTCTCTCTCTCTCTCTCTCTCTCTCTCTCGCGCGCGCGCGCGCGCACTGCAGTGTTTGGATTTTAGAACTGTTGATCCAAGAGTTATGTTCCTTTGATCACTCTTCAGTGGAAAGAAGTTCAGCAGCAGCAGAATCACGAGAAAGATGTAATTTGCTGTAAAGTTTGTTATTGTGGTAACCGTTGCTGAATGTGGTAAGATAGAAAGTTTTGTAGAATATAAATATGTAGGATATTTTATTAATCACTGAAATGCATTGCTGTGTCTGTCTTCTTATACACTGAAATAACTGATTAAACAGGACTGTGTAGGACTCCATGCATTTGTTTTTGAGAGACTCGCTACAAAGAAGTACTCTGTTTCCAGCATATTTCCCAAAAAATCTAGATCTATTTCATTTGATAATTATTTGATTATGTATACTGAAGTCTCTTTCATGAAAGGGTGTTTTTGGAAATAATGAAACGTTAATTCTGTTTTTTTCTGGATTTTTTTTTTTCATATGGATACATGTGCAGCTGATGTGTACTAGAAGATAAATTTATGAAAAAGAGATGAATCTTTGGACCCAGACTGGCCAGAGTGTATATTTGCGGGGGGGGGGGGGGGGGGGGGGGTGTCCACAAGCACCAGTGACCAGCCATCACAAAATTAAAAAAAAAAAAGATTACAGTTTAAAGCAATATGAGTGCATTTTTGAGAATTTTATTTTGCAGATAAAATGTGTTATTATGATTAATCTGCATATCATCTAAACCCTTATGATCAAAAGGACTTTAAATAAAATTTAAAAATGATTTAGAAGAAAAATTTATGTGCAACCAAATATACAGTATTATATAAGAAATCTTTATTGTACAGGACGACAATAATTCAATTTTGCTTCAATCAAAGCTTATAAAAAGTTCTTCCATAGCAAATATGAACAACAGAAGTTTATAAACATTTTATTTTTCTCTCAATGAAATAGTTAATTACAAATTTGAAATATTTTTTTTCTGTGTCAAAAATGCAGCTCATATTGCTTTATAGCTGCAGATCTGTATATAGCGTTATGGTTTTTTATAGTAGTCTTGACCATAACGTTATGGTCAAGACTACTATAAAAAACCATAACGCTACAGATCTGCAGCTAATTGCTTTAGTATAGTTGATGTGCGAGTTATCTGATTATATCAAAAGGTTTAGGCCTACATGTAATGGTGGACTTGATGATTTGATTTCATAATTTTGAAATACTGCAAAAGTACTTTTTTCTGTGTGGTATTAATTTACACTGTACACGGTCTCAAATTTTCCGCGGAAATTTGTCCAAGCGTACTTAATATGAATGCAAGTCATATAGTGACAGTCTGAGAATCCGCGCAATTTTCAACCTGTGGATTAAACGGAAATTGAGATGCTGCAGAATTATGACCCCGTGTACGGTGGAAAAAAATATGTCTACAGTACATGTTACGATGTATATATCAACTGTCATATTAACTTCAGATACCTTAGTTATATTCTAAACTTTCAGGGACATGGAGGAGGCAACAGACCAGTCAAGATACATATATGTACTATTGTATTGTCCAGACATAATCATTTATTTTGTCTAGTAAATTATTATTCCCTTATGAAAAAAGGATACAGCCAATGGCCAGTTCCATGCACAACTTTGTCCTATCATTACATGAGAACAGGAGCGTTATTAGTGGTTACATTAATATGGACTTGTTCATCCTCATCAATCAATTTGTTGGTATTCATAAGAAGCTTACAGTGTGGTGGCCTTAGTCCATTTAGGGCATTCAGAGTGCACTTACTGATCTGATCTGAGGTACAATTATGCAGGAGAGTTCTTCTCTAAAGGTCAGAAATGAGAGATCAAACCTTTTTATTATGAGCCCTCCTGATCAAAATCTACCAACAGTCTGTAGCCATTGTAGTAGTTGGCATAAAGTCTTAAATTTTTCACACTTGACATCTTCTCCATGCAGAACCAATGATCCAATTTCAACCAAATTTGGGGCAGTGTAACTTCGGTTAAAAGGGATTCAAATGAACAGTCACATCTTGCAAGGGGAGATAATAAGGAAATGGCAGAAATTTAAAATCTTCTTAAGGTCCACAGTGGGCCAGAAAAGATAAAACTTAAGTGAACTTCTGTGGTAATATAGATCAAGTGCATTCAAATCATGACCCCCAGGTGTAGCTAAATTAATTTTTTTTTTACACGTGGAAAGTCAAATGTTTAAAATCATATCATCACAGTATCATGTTAGTAAATAAATCATATGTCCCACTACCTCGGCTACCAATCTTTCCATTTAAAATTCAAGTGTGCATTTTAATACCAAGCATTATTTGATGTCAGTGAAACTGTCTCCTATTCTTTTTCTTTCCTTTTATTTAAAGCCACCAAATATATTTTCTTAATTTTTCAGAGGAATAAAGAGGGAATATATCTGCTGATAAAGAACAGAAGAAGAGTCATGGTATCTCAGGTGAGTGGTGTGACCCATGGGCCTCCTGTTATAAGTACATTTCATGTGTAATTTCTTACACTGATGTCATTCACATGAACTTCATAAAAGGTATGCACTGTACTTTTGCTTTATAACCAGAGACTTTAATATCATATAATCAGACATGTTATAATAACAGATAGTTTTCTCCCTGCAGGTTATTTCTCATGGTTGTCATCTTGGAGGAATAACTAGCAAATTAATTTTCCTCTTTAAGCAACCAATTCTTCATATAACACAAATATAAGGACCAAAAATTTTAATGACTAAAATTATGAATGAAAGAATTTTTGTAAAAAGAACATTTTTAATGCGTCATCTTCATCCAGTTGCCCATGTTAAGTTAAAACAAATTTATTGAATTAATTATGAAGGAATTAGGACTTTTTGACCTCCAAGATGGTGACCAATCATCTTCGCTAGCCAAGGGTTTCTGATACGCTACTCTCCTATGGAACCCTTGGCATACGGTGTTGTTAGAAGTTGGGTTTTTTTCTCGAGTTCTGATTGGGATTCGGTACACCCAGTCGACCAATCAGCATGATCAGCAATTGATTTTTGTTAATGACGATATTTGCGTTTGGGATACTTCTTGACTCTTTAATCTCAGGAAATCCGAATGAAAAACGCAAGTAAATGACGATCCGTAAGATAACATGCAATCCTATGAATAGCTATGGTGTCATCCAATATCTTCTAAATAATATATGTGATTAAAAATCTGTATTGAAGCTTCAGATTTGTACTACATGTAGTAATAATAAATAAACAAAACTAAATTATTGCTTATTAATTATTCTTGAAAAAACTTTGATTTAATTTTTTGTAAACACGCGTCTTTATTTCTATCGATGACGCAATCTGTGCGTACCTGATAGATTCAAGATCACATAACGAAAACAATCCCATCTTTTGACTTCACCGTAGGCCAAGGGTTTATGAGGAGTGTAGCCTATCAGAAACCCTTGGCTAGCGAAGATGGTGACCAATAGGAAATAACTCCACACATACATATGCCCTTTTCTGGTATAACACTGTATAATCATGATAATTATGAAAGTGGTTTTGTGTGAAGAGATTTGATGTATAATATTATTTTTACTGCATCATGTGCATGAATGAATGATAACAAATTTTGTTTTAGCTAACTTTTTTATTTATCCACATGTTTATGTAATGTTTTCCAGAATCAAGATGCCCCAATTTCTATTCATAATCCAAATTAACAAGGAACATGAGGAATAAGCATGAACAATACATGATGAAGTGGACAGAGAAATGCAAAGAACCCTGTGAAAGTTAGCCAATAGTCAGGTATATTGCTCCAATTTTTGTGAGCTGGCTTAGCTATATAGCCACCTTATTCTGAGATCTGTGCAGCAAGTATATGGTCAACATTCTTGATATCAAGTAATGTGGATACAAGTGTCCTTTATTAATCTGTTTGGCTGGTGCACATCCTCTCTATGGTTTGGTTGTCCAGTTTGGGCCTAAGTAAAACTTCACAGATAAAGACATGATAAAGTTGCATGCACTAATTAATAATTAACAGGAATGAAGAAATAGGATTATTTGTTCTTGTTTTTACCTTCAGACAAGTACTTCACACGATAGCTTAATTAACATTTTTTTTAAATATGTGTTTCCTAATATAACAAATACTTCTCTTTTCCATCCTCTATTTTATCATTTTAATGAAATACTTTTTTTCATGTTGCAAATCCTTCTTTTTCTTCCCTAACATTAGAGCCTGTAGAATATATATGAAATAAATTCAAACATTTTCCTGGTGTATCAAGCTTTGAAATCCTTTTCCTAATCTTTTGAATTTCTTTTTAGGTTTCAGCAATAAAAGAGGAAGAATGTATCGGAATCCTGGATAATTAAAAAATTTGTCTTGGATTGGTAAGTATACGGAGATGGAATATCAATTGATCAATAATAAATTGCTTGGTATAACATATTGTGAACGAAAGTGGAAGAAAAAAAATCCATATTCCTTTTTGACTTATTGCATGGAAACAACCTTCAAAACAGTTGCAATTTCTTATACTTTTTAGCTCACCTGAGCCGAAGGCTCAAGAGAGCTTTTCTGATCACATTTTGTCCGGCGTCCGTCTGTCCAGCTGTCCGTCTGTCTGTAAACTTTTCACATTTTCGACTTCTTCTCAAGAACCGCTGGGCCAATTTCAACCAAACTTGCCACAAAGCATCCTTGTGTGAAGGGGATTCAAGTTTGTTCAAATAAAGGGCCACGCCCTCATTCAAGGGGAGATAATTGAGAATTAGTGATGATTTGGTGGTATGTTTTAAAAATCTTCTTCTCAAGAACCATGTGCCAGGAAAGATGAAACTTATGGGGAAACATCCTCAGGTAGTGTAGATTCAAGTTTGTTCAAATCATGTCCCCCGGGGGTAGGGCGGGGCCACAATGGCCGACCAAAGTTTTATATAGAAATATATAGGAAAATTCTTTAAAAATCTTCTTCTCAAGAACAGCAAAGCCATAATTGCTCATATTTATATGGAAGCATCCCCAGGTAGTGTAGATTCAAGTTTGTTCAAATCATGACCCCCGGGGGTAGGGCGGGGTCACAATGGGCAACCAAAGTTTTATATAGAAATATATAGGAAAATTCTTTAAAAATCTTCTTCTCAAGAACAGCAAAGCCATGATTGCTCATATTTATATGGAAGCATCCCCAGGTAGTGTAGATTCAAGTTTGTTCAAATCATGACCCCCGGGGGTAGGGCAGGGCCACAATGGCCGACCAAAGTTTTATATAGAAATATATAGGAAGATTCTTTAAAAATCTTCATCTTAAGAACAGCAAAGCCATAATTGATCATATTTATATGGAAGCATCCCCAGGTAGTGTAGATTCAAGTTTGTTCCAATCATGACCGCCGGGGTAGGGCGGGGCCACAATGGGCAACCAAAGTTTTATATAGAAATATATAGGAAAATTTTTTTTAAAAACTTCTTCTCAAGAACAGCAAAGCGATAATTGCTCATATTTATATGGAAGCATCCCCAGGTAGTGTAGATTCAAGTTTGTTCAAATCATGACCCCCGGGGGTAGGGCAGGGCCACAATGGCCGACCAAAGTTTTATATAGAAATATATAGGAAGATTCTTTAAAAATCTTCATCTTAAGAACAGCAAAGCCATAATTGATCATATTTATATGGAAGTATCCCCAGGTAGTGTAGATTCAAGTTTGTTCCAATCATGACCGCCGGGGTAGGGCGGGGCCACAATGGGCAACCAAAGTTTTATATAGAAATATATAGGAAAATTTTTTTAAAAAACTTCTTCTCAAGAATAGCAAAGCCATAATTGCTCATATTTATATGGATGCATCCTCAGGTAGTGAAGATTCAAGTTTGTTCAAATCATGACCCACGGGGATAGGGCAGGGCCAAACTTTTGGATTTAAACTTTTCAATAGTATTGTAAACCAATTTCTACTTTTTCCTAGCCACAATGCTCGGGTGAGCGATGTGGCCCATGGGCCTCTTGTTTTGAGGTGAAATGTGGTTCAGATTAGAGATGAACAAATGTGAATATATTTATTTTTTGGTTGATTTTTGTGATGAATTTTAGAGGCAATAAAAAGCCTTGGAAATAAGGATAGAACTTGATAATGGCAAAATAATGAAAATATGTTTTTGTTTTCCAAATTGATTATACCTTATCAAAGAGAAAAATGATATCTGAGCCGTAACTTTAATTGATCAATTTCCCTTTCTCTTTAAATTTATCCAAGCAAATATTTTATTTTTTCTGGGCTTCATCTTAAAAGGAAAAATTTCTTTTACATCTTTTTTTTTCTTTGGCCCCAAGAACTCTCTAACGATGTCATTTCAGCTCGCCTAGAGTTTAAGCAACATTGGCAATGTTTATGAGTCAGAGAGGACCTATTGATTTTTGCTGGTTGGTGACCAGGCAGATAGCAGTAGTCGGAATCCTAGACTATATTGGCTACAGAATCACATGGACATTATATACACACTGACGATCACATTGTTACAACCTCTCGATCTGCCAGCCACGTGCAGCTTCTGATAACAATACAGCATCGGATCAAATTCTGTCCACAAGTGATGCTTCCATATTACTTCTCTTTTCCCGATTGGGAATAAGCCTGCAATTTTTTTTCTGGAGTCATTAGGATTTTCACACTTGTTCCGTAAGTTTTATTTTAAGTGTATTGTTCTGTTTTGGAGTCTTCAAGTAATGATGAGGGGTAATTAGTACATGTATATGCCAAACTGCTCAAGTACCATGTCAGGTGTAAATTCTTAATCCGGGTAATAATGGACATTGCAGTTTGTTGAATCACTGAGTCATTATGAAGCTTTTCAGCTAAGTATGGAATTATTCTGATTTTATTTCAATGAATATCAAATATATGCGCTTGCCGTGCTTGTAGTCACTAATGTACTTGTATTAGCAATGCAGACTGCCAACTGGTTAAATCAATGAAACTTGTTGCATTATACTGGGAGGTTTTTTTATGGTTAGAATAATTTACAGGTTAAATATTAATAGGTCTCTTAACTGGTATTATAGTATTTTAATATTAATGCATCAACTACAGTAATTGATGTATGTATAAGCACAAGGATTTCTCCATAGAAATCATGGGATGTCTGGCCCAACTCATATTTCATTAAAATTTTTTGATATTGCACCTTTGCTAATAGTAATATAATGTTAACAAATTCAACAAGGGGATAGGGGGATCATCGATGCTTATTTATAAATTGGTTTTGTTCGCATTACAAAGTCATGTATTGGGGAATTTTAACATGTTTAAAAAGTAATTTTTATTAACAACTGTCAAATGATATTTTATTGTCATAGCTCAATTCCAAATGATTACAACAATAAATTTTGTTTATTTATTCTTTCCAAATATAAATTTTCATCACTAGCCAAATAATATCGGTAAGATTAATTAGCAGATCCACTGAACATGCATGGTCTAGAAATGCAAATTTTAATTTGAAATGAAAAATTTATTATTTTTATCATTTGATAATTGACAGTGATAAGTTAATAAATCGGCAGCATTTTACATTTTTTCTTGAAAATTAAAGGCTAGAATTCACTATGGTAATTAAGTGCTATTTTTATATAAGCTTTAAAAATTTATTTAAATAATTTTTACATGTTGGATGCAAGCATTGTAACTAAAGAGAAACATGCTAACATATTTATGTTTGAATTGTTTTAGCACATATAATCAGATTTCTTCATAACTATATAAAAAAATTGAATGGAAATTATTTCAAATAAGAGAAACAATTGATATAATAATAGAGAGTGATTGTTTCTTAGATGCGACATAATTATAACAGAAAAAATAATTTCGATTTTATCATTGTGTACCAATCTGCACTGTATCTTATGGTAGAAGCACTGTAGAGGCTTTTGGTCTTTGGCCTTGTTTGTTTATAGATTGATTTTCTCTCTTTGTGCACACTTCAGTTCTCTTTATTGAGCAATTAATTGTCCATTATCAGGCCATCAGAGAAGAAAAGTACCTTATAGCAAGCTATAAAAGCAAATCCTACATGTTTTCTTTGTCAGTGCATCATGTGGATTAGCAAGACAAATGTTGAAAAAATTGAGTCTTTAAATCTTTACAATCTGTATACGTACATGTAGATATTACTTGACGTGTTTCCATCATGGAAAGTATTACTGTAACAGTGTACTATTAAATGATGAATTGGATTTTTTTAAAATATACATGAATGAAGTTGCAGTTCAAAATACTGTATAAGCAGAATTTTTACTGAGGATTAAAGTTTGGCATTATTAGCATGGGTGCTGAGATTGCTTAAACTGAATATGGCTAAAAAATAATTGCGTTTAATTTGTAAAAGCTTCTTTATATATATTTTGAGCATTTTAGAATTGCTAAAATTACACCTTGCCAAAAATAAATTACCAATTTTTAAGAACAAATTTCTAAAGGTTTCTGATCTTGCTAAAATTTCCACTTATACGATAATTAGAATTAATCTATTTTAAGTAAAGTGTAGTTTTAACAAATTAAGGCTTTGAAAATTTTTTTTATAATGACAGAGGTGTCTTGTCACCTAGTCTTTCCTGCACTTACTCTGACAATGAAATTTTTGCCGTTGCTCAACATTGTTGCCCTTAATGTTCCTTTGCATTTTAAAATTTGCCCTTTTTCCTTTACATTATTCCCTCAGACAGTGCTCCTTTACATTGTTGCCCATAATGCTCCTTTAAATTTTTGCCCTTAATGATCCTGTACATTGTTGCCCTTCCTCTTTTACATTGTGCCCTTAGTGGTCTTTAATATTGTTGCCCTTAATTCCTCTGTTACATTGTTGCCCTTGCCCCTTTATATTGTTGCCCTAAATGCTCCTTAAAGTTTACATTGTTGCCCTTTATACAACTTAAAATTTTGCCCTTCATTCTTTACATTGTTGCTCTTGCTCATTTACATTGTTGTCCTTCAAGTTGATCATGCTCCTTCTCATTGTTGCCCTTAATGCTTCTTTACATTTTTGCTCTTCCTCCCTGACGTTGTTGCCCTAAATGCTTATCATGCTTCTTTGCATCCCTGTCCTTAATTCTCCTTTACATAGATGCCCTTAGAGTGCCTTTCCATTTTTGCCCTTGATGCTTTACACTGTTACCCTTAATGCTCCTTTATATTGTTGCTCTCAATGCTCCTTTACATTTTTGCCCTAAATGCTCCTTTACATTGTTGTCCTTTATGCTACTCTACATTACTGCACTTATAATGCTCCTTTATATTGTTCCCATTGTTCCCTCATTTTATTGCCCTTGATTCGTCATATTATTGCCATTGTTTCTTTACATTGCTTTGGCATTATCCATTTCACTTCTTTTCATTATAATTGCCCTTACTCTTTGTCCTTGTTGCCTTGACTCCTTGCCTTTGGGTCATTGGTAGTATTGCCCTTCTACCTCACATCATTGCCCTTGCCATCACTTCTTGACTTTGTAGCCTATATTCCTGTGTAATCAGGGCTGAAATATCAGACATTCTTCTGTATCTTTGCCACAATATGTTATCATGATACTGTCCATGGATTATAATATTCTTGTTTTTATTAAAATGAATAATAAATATTTTATTTTCAAAAATGCATTCTGTATAGTTAGATAAAATTATGCATCAAAATGGCATTTATTAATTATTATGTATTACATATTTAAATTTCAAATATTCATATTATTTTGTATTTGCATGAATTCCTAAAGATAAAGTAAAACAGAGAATTTTTTGTTTTTCTCATATCATTTGATATTACTACTTATTTCAATGAAGCATGTTTCAAAATGTGTAGCATCATCAAACAGAATTGATATAACTGGGTATCATCCATTCAGTCATAGTCTCATAGATGTGATATTTATCAGTGTCTATGTCCTGGACTTGTCAACTTTGGATTTTTATTGGTTGTTTGCTTTATACTGTGTGAAACAGAACAGCGACAAATAGATTTCTTTTGTCCTTCCATGTATCTTGTCTTTCTGTCATGTGTTTCTCTTCTCCGAGAATTTAATTTTCTGTAAAGATGAAATTAGTTATTATTTCCTAATATTTCCTTTGTGATTTAGCCCTGGCCAATCCTGCTTTATATATTTCAGATTGTTCGAAGTGTAAATTCTTTTAACATCATAGTGCTAAACATAAAGCATTTTCATAATATTTGTAATCAAGTTTGGCCACAGAAAATTAAATAAGCAGAACTAGGGTAAAAATACTAAGTTTTATAAAATAGTGGCCATTAATTATTACTGCAACTTAATAGGATATCCTTAGCTGTAATTTATATTAGAATTAGAAAAAAAAGAATATTTCCATCTTTAAACAGAATAATACTTAATATGGAGAGGTATTTTCTTGCCAATTCCTGCATCAGTTATTTTCCCTTTATTTATAATCCCCAGCATGAGTAAAGGAAGCTGTAATGGTATAGAAGGGAATTACCGCCAAAATTCTATGTATCTTGCTTTTATTCTTATTCTGCCTACTTCTTTATGCTTTTTTATTATTGTAATTATATGTCACTTTATTGTTTTCGTATTCGTCTTTATTACATTTCACTTTGACTTTTATCCTTCTTCATTTTGCCCTTACTTCTATGTTGCTTTATTCATTTTACTTCCTTTTAAATCGATACAGTTTCTTAAATGATTATCTCAATTACATACGTGAATTCAATCACACAAAGAATGAAGCATATTCAATGAAGACGAATACAAGTTGTCAAAATTTAGTGCTGCATTATAACGCTAGGTGGCAGGGGTGTTCGCTACGAGTGTTGGTAAAACTAGGTCAGCAAACCCGGGCCGGGGTTATTTAAGATTTTTCAATTTTCTGCCTTAATACTTATTCAATCGAATATCTGAAGGCCGAATCCGATCACCCGATACAATGATGGAAACTCCATATAATATTTATTTTCTCTGGGCACACAGGAATAGCGGCCTCTTTTTTTTCAGACATAACTTTACATACCGGTAATGTTCATTAAAAGTCCGACCCACTTGGGTCAAATAAGGTTAATGTAGTATAGTACATTTAAATTTGATACTATATATGAAGTTGAATTTAACCCAAAACCCACACCGCCCCCTTAATATGATTTCATTGGCGTCGGAAGCAAAGTGAAAATTGGGGCCGGGGGTGGGGGGTGGGGGGGGGGGGCTAAGCGTAAGAAATATTTTTTAGACCTTCAAAAAAAAAAACATGACAAGCAAAATAAAAAGAGAGAGAGAGAGAGAGAAATGTTCTTTGTCCAAACACAAAATCCTATTTCGTGTGTGTGTTGTGGTGATGGGTGTCAAATTACAGTGCCAATTTTTTGTTCAAAACACCACCACTTTCCACATTTTAAACCTATAGGCCTACTGCATCGTGTCCATGGAAAGTGGGGGGGGGGCTAAACCTACGCAGTAATATTCAATGTCTATACTAAGTTTGACTTTGGAAAAAAGTGGGGGCTAGGCCCTCTCCCCGGTTCCGATCGACGCCTATGTATATTCAAGTTTAGAAATTTCCTGGTTTTTTTTTTTTTTTTTTTTTTTTTTTTTTTTTTTTTGCTTGTCAAGTTGTTTTCAGCGGATAGCTTGAATTTTCAAAATCGATGCTACGTCACAGTTCTC